ACTGCAGAGGCGCAGTGGCCTACGGAAACAGTGCCAGCAGGCCGAGCCACCGCTAGATGACCCCCAGGTGGCCAGGTCAGGGCCACCGGCCCAAGAATCTGAAGGGAGTGTCGTCCTTCCATGGGCCAGGCACGCAGGACTCAATTAACTTTCCTGGCAGTAGCCAAGTATCGCTGTGTTTTGTAACCAAAACGGGAATTTTTTTTCTATAAAAAGGCTCTATATGCCCCATCAGAAAAATAAACTCACCCAAAAAAACCTGTTTATATTTGAATCTTCAACAGGCACTTTTCAACTGCCGTCACTCCTAAATATGGAGTCTTAAAAAATTCACATGTCCTACTCAGCCAGATCTATAAGCGGCACAAAAATACATGTGTCCCGCCGTGGGAGGGAGAGCTCTCAGCACATCCGAGTTACGTGTGGTGCGGCGCTCTGGCAGGGCACGCTGCCACTCAGCATCACCCAGGCCCTTTCCAACCTGCCGCTGCAGTGACATTTACAGAAAATGCACACACATCAAGTAACTCCATGGGCTTCAGATACAAACAGAGCGTTAGGCACTCAGTATGCAAATGCGTCCCCGAGTTATTTTAAAGTTTACACCTTACAAAAGATATGCCATAGTACCATGCTGTTCCTGAGACATTTACTGAGTAGAGGAAAAATTTCTCTCGTAACCCCAGAGTTTCAAGGCCACACAGGCTGAGATGACAGCTAACTTGATCTATCGGCCCATCCTCAGAAAAAGAAGGGACCTTCCTGCAAGACTGGTTCTGACATGGCCGGAAGCCAGACTCAAACCACAGGCAACAGCATCTTCCCCATAACCAAACAGGTACCTTCAGAATCTGACCCCACTTTTCTAAGCACCACTCAAAAAACAGATTTGGGGGGTTAGTAAGTATTTAATCATGTTGCACAGAATAATTAGCAGCAGTCTCTAGAATCCAGGCAGCCTATCAGAGCTCTGTCCTTCTTTTAACTATTAATGATCAGCAATGAAACCGCCATTTGTGGGGTGTCCATATAATAATAAACTACCACAGAGAAGTCTGTGCTATAAGAGACAGGTGCTCAGTAGCTCAGCAGTGTCCTACTCTTTGCAACCCCATGGGCTATAGCCTGCCAGGCAGTCTGTCCATGGAATGTTTCAGGCAAGAATACTGGAGCAGGTTGCCATTTTTTTCCTCAGGAAAGACATGAGACGGGACAGGTGGGTAAATGCTGACTCCTGCCTTTGCACGTCCATGGAACACAGCCCACTCTCCTCCTCTACTTTCTGGAGGAAATGCAGCTGAGGATAGGGAGAGAGGCTGTATATGTTATGAAAGTAAAAACAGGATTAGTAGACAGAATCTTAAAATCAGGTCAGTTGTGCAGGCACCTACCACCAAAGGCAGAGACTGAAAGGACTCTCAAAACATCTGGTAAAGCTGGTCACGCTTGTCCAACATAAATCAGGAGGCCGTGCTGACATTTAAGCTCTGGTCTCCTTGACGTTAGTAACACCAGGACTTTTCCTCTTGTTTTCAAACTGTCATGATGTCTATTAAACGTTACTAGAATGGAGAGCATGCATAAAGGAAGACAGCAAAGTCTCCAAAGGGGCTACTCGTAAACGTGCTACAGAAACATGAGTAGGGCAAACATCAAGGACAAAGCGGACATCTGGGAATCACCCTGCTTCCCAGGAGAAAAGCCCGCTTAAAAGCCAAGAAGGGACTTCCCTGGTGATCCAGTGATGAAGACTACACACTCCCAATGCAGGGACATGGGCTCGAACATTGGTCAGGGAACCAAGATCCCACACTGCATGGCCTGGCCAAAACAACAATGAAAAGAACGATGACCCTCAAATGCTTCTCAGGACCATCAGGCTTAAGCCCACTGCCCGTCCCTATTCTCCATACATGTTCTGGGGGACCAGCAGCACTGTCGTAAGGCCAAGGCTGTGGTTATCCCCCACGCGGACATCAAGACATTGAAGGAATTCAATAGGAATAAGCCGGCCAAGAAGAACGATGTGGTTTTGGCTTCAGAGTCTGATTAAGTAGACCCCACAAATGTGGGGCCCAGGCCGGAAGAAGGCTGGCAGGTTCCCTTCTTTGCAGACACAATGAGAACACGGAGGCCAAAGTGGATGAAGTGAAGTCCAGGATCAAGTTCCAGATGGAGATGGTGCTGGGTCTGGCAGTGGCTGCTGCCCCATGGAGATGACAGAGGAGGAGCTTGGGCACAATATCCACTTAGCTATCAACTTCCTGGTGTCACTGCTCAAGAAAAACTGGCAGAAATGTCCAGGTTTCATACATTAAGAGCACCGTGGATCAGCTCCCATGCCAGTATTAAGGCACGGCTTCATAAACCCTAATTCACAAGCTGAGAAAGGTTCCGCAGACCCCAGTGCTGATATAAGCCCGCCTCTGTGGCCTTCACTGTTGGGTAACCTTTTCTCACTCTCTCTTTCCCTCAAACTGCTGGGCTTCGTCAATTAGGCCCTCACGTCCCTGCCAAACAAGTGGGGAGATGCTTTCATTTTGCAGTAAGCAGTAAGTTACAGAAGCCATATCCACACTCTTTTTCAACGTGAAGGATCTAAGAGGCATTTTATGTGAGTTTTCTTACAGGGTAGCAGACGTTTTTCACATTAGTGAACAGTGCCTAAGATAAGCCTGAGACCCACTGGTAGGCGAGGCCTTCAGCTGAGATCCAGGGCCGTCTGGATCAGGGTCACTGAGGAGTGCAGAGGGGTTGCTGTTAAATGCAGATTCCTGAGCCCTATTTGAAAGCGGGTCTGGATCAGATGACATCTGGAGGGAGGAAGGCAAGAACATGCATCTTCAGAGCTCCCCGGGCATCACAGTCCAAGAATCATCAACACAGGTGTCCGCTCGGCTCTGAGCCCTCCTCACAGGCTGACAAGTCCTCCAGCCACTCCACCACCAACTCGTGCTATTGAACCTCCTGAGTCCTACAGGACACCCCTTCTTAGTGCAGACGAGGCAGCCACCCTGCAGTAGTGCCTGCTGCACTGTGAAGCGAGGATGGAGCCTGAGAACAAGTAGAAACACCCCAGACAAGACCCCTGGGCGCTGCTCAGAGCTGTGCCCACAGTGCCACAGGAGAAGGCTCTAGGAACACATGCTCTCTGACTGGAAAGTCTACTTCTGGGCCAGTTTAAAGGTTACTGAATGATAAAAATTAAATCTAACTAAGACTCCTAAGAGCAGGTTATGTGAAACGTTCCTGGGATGCGGTGTGGGAGGGAGACACTGAGGATTAGAAAGGTGTTAATTCTCCCTAGGTGCAATCTAAAAACTGCAATCCAATCGAAATCCCATTAGAATGGTTAAGGACAGAACCTGAAAAATTGATCCTAAAGCTCTTATGAAAACAATGAGTGCACAACAAAGAAATATTTTAAGTAAATGAGAAAAACCTTCTGGCTATAAAACCATATAGCAATTAAAATGGAGCGATACTAGAACAGGTACAAATAGAAGATCTAGGAGTCAAAAGAAAACTTGGAAACATCCAGACCCTTCTGGACCATGTGTATACACATGCACTCGTGTGTGCGTGTATGTGTGCACACACATGGGCCTGCACCTCTCTCTGGCCCACTCTGCAGGCACCTGTGTGTGCACACACACTCAGGCATGTGTTGCTCTGCATCTTAGTTTTTCATGCATATACTATATTTCCATACACGCTTTTCTGTATGAAACGAAAGGCAGTATTTCTTTAGGGTCTGTTCCTAAAGGTGAACGGGGTCGATGGCAGGCATGCAACAGCAAGCTGCCAACGCTCTGGCCAGCATGACCGTGCTCGCCCCGCCCTCCCCACTGGACAGCCCCAACCTGCTCTGGGAGCCCTCGAGGCTGCTGTCTCACATCCAGGGGCTTGCTGCTGACCGCTCAACAAAAGTCTATTCTGGACACGAGCTCACTCTCCGCTGTACAGCTGCCATGACTCCCCACTGTCCTGGTGGCGTCATCTCCGCTAGAGAAGGCTTCCTACTTGCCATGCTCAGGAGTCCCTCTCCTGTGGCTTCTGGGGTGTGGCTCACTGAGGACCCCGCCCTGAGACACCTGCCCCCGACCCGTGGTGTCCGCAGGCCCTGTAACATCAGGAGAAGGGGCCACACGAGGCATGCTGTGTGCCATCTTACGGACCATGTTGGGCTGGGCGGCGCAGGGGCTGCAGCCCAGCGCTGTAACAAGGGGAGTGGAGGCAAAGAGAGGAAGAGGCCAAGCCGGGGACACAGCCTCCATCCCCTGACTTACACCTCACAGGGACCAGGGCTCTGGTCAGTCGCACAGCTGCGCCCTGCCACTGAGCTCTTCCTAGAGCTCAGCACAGTTCCGCTCCTCTGCTCATCTCCTCACTGAGAACCAGAGACCACGGCCCAGAAGGCAGGCTTGGAAGTCCATCAGACAAAAAAAGATAAGAAATAAAGCACCCAACACTTCCCCTGCCATACCACTTTACCCAGGCTGGAACAGAGAGGCCGAGTTGTCTCTGCACCTCTGTATTAGCATGGAGCAGGCTCCACAATGTTCCTTAAAGAATTCTTCACCTTCAGTTACAATCAACAATGAAATAATGACCTGCTCAGCAGGAACAACTTCTGACTCAGGACAGAGGCTTCGAATGCTTTGTAAGCATTACCGAGCTAACAGCAGCAGAACGCAGCTTGAGTGGGGCACTCAGCGGGGGCTGGAGTCCGTGGCAAAGGACAGTGACTGTATATCCCCAGTGCCTCCCTGCTTCCTTGGAACTAACACCTGTCACAGACCTGGAAAGTCTGAAGGCCACGAGACAGCATGCGTCACACACAGCCTGGCAGGTCACTGAGGGACACCCCATCACGTGCCACCACCACCACCATCAGGCCTGCACGAATGTGCTTTCCCGGAGCCACTTGTTGTGAACTCCAAATGCTGGCAGGGGACAGGAGCGGGCCCAGGGGTTGGACTCATCACCGAGCACCTCACCTGACTTGCTCCCAGGTCTTGGTGGCCAAATGCAGCACCCAGAGGTCCTTGTAGTGGTAAAACTGCTCTCCATCAGGAGAGGCAAACTCCCCACCGAAGATCCACAGCTGCCCACCACCCTGGGGCACCACCACGGCCTGTTGAGAGAACGATAATGGGTCAGGGCACAGCCAGACAGCTTTTGGTCCAACTGGAGACCTGCCCCCAGTCACTCAGTTCCAAGCCCACACTCCAGCCTCAAAGGCCTGCCCCTCTGGTTCTGCCTAAGGCCCAAGACTCACAGGTTACACGGGACCATGCAGGACTGCCTGGGCCGACAGAGCCACAAAGTCATTGGAGGCCAGTGGCCAATGGAGCCCCTCCCTGGAGTACTCCTCCCTGGAGTGCCCCCTAACCAAGGAGGGCACAACTGCAGAGATAGTCTCAACTTGGCTTTTATGTGAATCGCGTGAGGGAACAGACTTCACAGAAATCACTTCTTCTGCCAGTACCCCAGAAATGTGGGGGTGCTGCCTAGTCAATGAATGCCTGCAGGGGGCAGACTGGGGGCCAACCTGCCCCAGTGTCAGAAGTCCCAGGGCTCTGGCAGCAAAGCAGGCCACAGGGCACATCTTCAAACCAAGTGGCCGAGTTAAGCTCCTGGCCGGGGGCTCAGAAGCAGTGCCCACGGCAGGAAGCACAGTGTGGCTGGGGCAGGAGAAGTGGGTTGGGGCAGCTGGATGCCAGGCGCTCCCAAGCATTCTGGGTGAATGCCTCCTGCCCCTGCAAACCTCCACGGACAAGCACACGCTGGGCGGTCAGACAGTGGTTCCCAGGATGCCCACCCCTAGGCACCCTCGGAGCACCCCAGGCTTCCACTGCAGCACAGCCTGTCACTTAACTAAGCTTAAGGCCGCAGAACTGCAGCTCCATCACCATGCTGCCCCTGCCCTGGACTAACTGGAGGGTCCTGATGACACATGCAGGGTGATGTGGCCCCCCCACCCCATTTCCACTCAGTTCTGTGCATCCTCTCAGCACTGACCTATCAGAAGACAAATCAGTTTCCTGTGACTCTAAAACCCCAGTGATTGTAAGGAGCTATTTCAAATCTTTAAATGAGACATGAAAATTAGCTTAGGCCCAAACTTAACACATTTTTCTGAGTTTAATGAAGTTTGGATGGTCTATTCATGCTATGCAATACAATGTGGTTTTGAAATATCTTATTATAGAAGCTATTTAATGCCTGAGATAGCATTACAAATAATGCATCAACTGGAAAGAACAGTACAAAGAAAATATACACACACACATATGTAGATGCACACACACGTGTGCGCACGCTCAGTTGTGTCCAACTCTTTGCAACCCCTCTTTGCATTGACTGTAGCCTGCCAGGCTCCTCTGTCCATGGGATTCTCCAGGCAAGAATACAGGAGTGGGTTGCCATCTCCTCCTCCATGGGATCTTCCCGATGAGGGACCAAACCCGCATCTCTTTGTGTCTCCTGCACTGCAGGCAGATTTTTTTTTACCACTGAGCCCCCGGCCATCTTCGGAGTGATTAATTTATGTATTTTGAAATAAATCAATAAAAATAAACTCCTTTACATACGTACATTCACGCACACATATACATACACACAGTGGTTTTGAAGTAACGGTTTGGATGGACTGACAGCCAACGTTCCCTGGACCTAACAAAGGTCGAACACTGTCCCGTGACCAAAGCAGGACGGCTCTGCTCCCGGGCTGAGGCAAGGCTTCCCCCACCAGCGTCTACTTTCCTACGTGTCACACAAGGCTGTACGCTTCCCAGGCATTTGGGTTTCTGTCTTGTTGTCTTCAATGGAATAAAATCATGTCCAGAAAACCGTAAGGTCACAACTTTCCCTCCAAAGGCCAAAAAAAAAAAAAAGACACAATGGAGTCCAAAACAACATACAAACTCTGTGACTAGATTCTGATGTCAGCCACATGCATCAGCTTTGTGAAAGTCGAGTCCTAACAACTTGCCAGGCCACCAGGACCAAAGAAAATAGAACCCGGGGGACATAATAAAAAAATGGCAAATGTGTCCTTTCTGTTGCTGCATCTCAGCCCTGGAAGCGCAGCTCGTGTGTATGATGTTGAGTTCCCAGTGAACAAGCCACCCCTGCTGCTCCGGTGGAGTGTGACAGAGCCGTGGCTGAGCTGCAAGGAACTGCCTTCTGCAGCTCCCCTGGGCACTGTGGGCACGATTCTGATCACCCGGGAGTAGGCATTCCGTAAACACTGACTACTTCCTGCTCATGCACACACAAAGGCTGATGAGAACAGAGGTGGCTCTCTTAAACCATAGGGAACTGTCTGTTCTACTGTTTGCAAGAAAGCATTTTGTTTCAAGTGAGTTATTGCTTTGGGAAAAACAAACCATCAGGTGAGTAAGAAGAGGTGAACTTCAGCAGCGCCCGAACTCCTCCTCCCCCACCCTTCAATTCTCAACAGTCCTTCCTGCTCAGTCCATCCGAACAGGAGCATCTGAACATTCTACCCAGGGAGGGTCCCGGGAGGGGAGCACCAGGCAGGACCCGACAAGTGAGGCCCAAGAGGTTGTTGGGTACACCGTCAGTGGGCCTTGTGACCCTTTCCTTCCTCTCACCAGCTATATTAGTTTTAGAAAATGGCATTAAATTTTCAAATTACAAGCTAAAATAAACTTCACCCCCAAAAGTCCAGGATCTCAGAGAAATGACAAATGATGGGTGCACATATAAGCTTTCTCTTTCTACTCCTTCTGCCCCTGATTGATTTAGAGAGAAGGGTGGCTTTTGTTATCACATTGATTAAACTAGTCCAAAATGAGGAAATTTTTACAGCTCCAAATATAATGTAGTGGAATTTGAACTGTAATGACCTCTAGGCGAAAGACTTCACCCCCAATTTTCTATTTCCCATAGCTCTGATTTGTTGAAAAATTCACAGAGTAAATAGCAAGCCAACCTCACCTACAGGGATAATATTAAGTCCCAGACTCAAAAAGTGCTCACAAGATATGCGTATGAATCAGAACCTGCCCAAATGACTGAATTAAAATCTCAAAGACTCTTAAGATACTAGTTCTTCAAGGACTAATTGAAACAGATAAGAAAACAAACACCAAAGAAGCCCCTCAGTCTGCATGCCTGGGGCCCAGGAACTGGCCAGGCATCGGGTGGGGTCACTTACAGTACTCCTCCCTGGACCAGGACAGGACTTGGTGCTTAGCCCGGAGGCCTGGGTGAATACATTCTCAGAGCTGGAATAGGCTCAGGTGAATGGACTCGAACTTATCAAGAGCCATTTACTAATTAAAACCCAGGCTTACTAAGATCTTTCTAAATCAAAAAGCAGTGCATGCCTCTCTTTCAAAATATGAACTAGTCCAAATGGCTGCAAGCCTTGCTGTGCACGAGATGTCGATGCAGTTCAGGCAGGCAGTCCTCCTTGTGGACCCAATTTCAAATCAGGAGGCCACTTCTGAGCACTGAATCAGAAGGAGAACCACAGTGTGGAGGGATGTTTCAGTCACGCCCTGGGAGGCTGACACTGGAGAGGGTTCACTCTTTCAAACTACCTTTTGAGCCCCAACACTGTTTCAAATACTTGGTTATGAGAATGAACAAGAGGACTTCTCTGGTGGTCTCAGAAAGTCCAGTGGGTGGGAGTCCGCCTGCTAATGCAAGGGACATGGGTTCTATTCCTGGTCCGGAAGATTTCACATGACGCGGAGCAACTGAGGCCGTGCACCACCAACTACTGAGCCCACGTGCCCTAGGGACTATGCTCTGCGATAGTCCACCACAATGAGAATGCACTGCAACTAGAGAGCAGCCCTCGCTCTTCTCATCTAGAGAAAAGCCCACGCAGTAACGAAGACCCAGCACAGCCAAAAAATAGAAAAAACACATTCCAGGCGGAGACAGCAGAGTGAGGAGGCTGCCAGCTCGAAAGTCCGTCACGGAATCCTGCGTCCGGACCCCAGCATGAGAAGAAGGGAGGCCGACGTCACACAGACACGTACCTGGTGAGCACAGCGCCTCGGAGGTGGGTTGGGGATCTCCACTTTGGTCCAGCTGTCCTTCCGGATGTTGTAGACGTAGAGTTCGTTATAAAGAAAAGTCTGCAGGAAGGAAGAGGAACTTCAGTGTTATGAATGATGCTTCCACACAACTGACGGCAAGCAGAAGGTGGAGCTCAATCACTAGCTCTCCCTGGGCAGTGTGCTTCCTAAGGCCAGTTCCCAGACCCTCCAGGATGGTGACACAAAGACCGCCTCTGGATCACCATGCAGGGAAGCTGAACTCAGGACTTTGGAACTATTTCATCTGTAGCTCTGAAACAGAGGGCTATCTGCTCTGCTCAAAAATCAAAATTACAGTTTTTATGATGTTATTAATTGCTCTACCATATATCAGCACTTTGCCTATTCAAACACCTTTGGAAACTTATGAGGAAAGAGAGCAGGGCGCTGGCCCACCTCATGCAGGCAGGAAGAGCTGTGACACTCAAGGGCCCGGAAGGATCCTGGTGGCTTAAAGGACCACACCCCAAGCCAGTCCTGCCTCATGGAGGCAGGACACATGAGGGGCGGAGTTAAACGACCAATGGGTATTTGACATCAGTGCCTAAAAGGAATTTTCCTCTAAATGAGACTCATGAAAATTTGAAGGGAAAGAATAAAATATATACTTTACTTTTTGGCCATTGAAATATTCACCTCCGAAAAGGATTAATTCATCTTTCTCAGGATGAGTGGAGAGGGAGGCATTTAACCTGCAAGAGACACAAGCAGCAGCTCAACACAAAAATCAAACCATGTGACGCCGAGACAGAGAGCCCGTCTCCCTCCCTCCATAGGCTGTGCCACCGGGGAACAGCCTATCCTGAACTTCTGCGCAAGAGGAACCAGGGCTGAGGACAGAAGCTGAGGCACTGCCCTTAATGGCAGCCTCACCCTCGGGACACTGACACCCAGGCTAGCCTCCCAGGAGGGCCCAGGGCCTCTCACACAGCATCTGGCTAAAAATCATCAGGTAGGTTGGGGTCTGGGGACTCCGACTTCTGCGCCACTCTTCCCAGAGCTGTCCTGCTTCCAGCTCTGTCCTCTACATTATAATCTAACTGTCCTCAGAGGTCCACTATTCAAGCTTTTAAATATACATCCCAGACTGCTTCCATCTGGAAAACACAAACACCTTTCTGCTTACTTTCACACATGAGAACAAGGCAACAGCTCTAGGGGAATTTTAAGTGTGCCCTGACATCTCAGCAGGAAGCACTGAAGGGTAAGGCCACTGGGAGGGAAAAATTCTCTGTGCTGAAGCCCCTGGGGCAGTGTTCCTGAGGTGTCCTTTACCACATCAATGCCAAACGATGCTTCTCAAAGGGAAAGGGAAAACTGTTTTGTTTTTTTTTTTCAACTGGGGATTTATTATACACAGAGACCTTTTATAGGCTGAGAAACCCTGCAGTCAAACCCTCAAGTCAAAATAGCGCACCCCAGTCTCCAATACAACCAAGCACCTCGCCCTCATACTACCATTAAGCTACCTCTGAGCAAAGATGTGGGGATATACACACTTAAACTTGGTGATTTTCATGGATTTTTCCTATAATTCGATGGAGAGGTAGGAAATGAGAGGGTATTGAGGTAACCCCTGAAAGGTCTGTGTCCCAGTAGATCTCAGCTCGAATACCGGCCCTTTTCCTTCAGGAGGCTGCCCAGTGACCTGGTGATGTAGGCACTACCAAGGTTTCAAATTATACTGGTACATTACACTGGCTTTTAGGGCAACATACTTTAAGGCAAATGTCATCCAAAAAAAAAAAAAAAAATCAACTCACATTCAAAGTGAGTTCCCTCAAGGGTGCTGCACAAATAAAGACTTCACGATCTCATGGATTTATCTGCTTCAACAATTCAGATGAACATGTCCGCTACCACATGTGACCCTTAGGCTTGACCCAAAGATAACATGACAAATAAAATGAAAATAAAGCCAGACTCCCAGGGGAATTTATGAACTGAAGGACAGGAGGGACCTTTGGGAGCTAAGGAAAAGCCCCTGGTGTCCACTCAGGGGTGAGCACCTGACCCTGACCCTGAAAGGTAACAACCACATGCCGGGGGTGAGGTCGTGGGATTCAAGCCATGCCCTGCACCCCACTGAGGCAGAGGGGACACTCCACCACCTCCCTTCCTGATGTGCTGGACCAAGGCCTCCACTCAGGCCTGAAGGAAATGAAGCAAATCATTTCTCAGCTTAACAAGACAGCCCTGGATGCGCGGGAAGTTAGGCATTTCCCCTTCTCCGAAGGGCACGCATCTCCCCATCAGGGTCACTTGGCCTCCCTGGGCTCCTAGCTCGAGGTGCTCTGTGTCCTGGCCCTGCTCTGCCCAGAGAAGGGATAAGAATGACGGAGCCCTGGGTCCTGCATCAAACCGGAGAACCGCTGGTATTCAAGAGCTGAGGAGGCAAGAAAGAAGGGATAAGGAGCCAGGGAAAAACCACAGCCTGCTCCCTCCTCCTCCTTCCACCTGGTCTGAAATCCTACAAAAGACATTGGAGCCCCTCACATAAACTATGAACTCATCTAAAATGGCTTACAGTTTTATGTTTAATGGTCACGCTTGAGAACATAAAAGCGCTATGAATGAGCACAGTGAAAAGCATCATGATTTTTTAACTTTTGGACCTCTGAGGAGCCTTTAAAAACCTCAGACACATAGAGAAGGAAATGGCAACCCACTCTAGTACTCTTGCCTGGGAAATCCCATGGACAGAGGAGCCTGGCGGGCTACAGTCCATGGGGTCGCAAAAGGTTGGACATGACTTAGCAACTAAACAACAACAATATGTATGTGTGTATAACTGAGGCACCTTGCTGTATGGCAGAAACTAATACAACATTGTTTAAAAAAAAAAAGAAAGAAAACCCTCAAACACAGATTGTCACCAGATGGGGTTTCAAACCCACATAACCTCCCTGATGAGCAGCAGTGCTGGGGGACCTCTTCTCCGTGTTTCCGTGTGACAACAGAGCTGAGCTGCCTCCCTCCCACTTGTCAGAGGTAGAAGTGAAAAAAACCGCCTTGTCTTGTAGGAGCTGATCTAGTAGGTTCTAATGATGAAAATGCCCCAAGTGCCCAGTTACTTATGAAAACATAGTGCCTGTTTCAAGCAGCTTCCCAATTTCTACCAGAAAACTGTCAGAAGCTACCCTGTAGCTTGCTTACCGTGGGGAAGGTGGCGAGCAGGGTGTCTCCACGACCTGAGTCTTTCTGGCATCGAGAGTCTGGAAGTGGGCTATGAGGGCTTCCAGGTCCTCCTGCAGACAGATAAGCAATTACACGTGGCCAAATGCCTGGGTCAGCTCTCCTCAGACCCCCCTGACCTGACCAGAATTAGAACTTGTTTCTTCCATTTAAAAGATACAAAACCTGACACAGACACAAACACTTAGAACCTGAGCTTCTGGCACACGGCACATGCGTCATCTCATTCCAAACCCTCACTCCCCACACCAACCAAAGGCCTTCTTCTCAGACAATTTCACGCCACAACACACCCAATTTCACACCAACACCTTCAATCACCGCTGGAAACCGAGGCCCGGGCCACCACACCAGCCTGCTTTGCTGTCCGCAGAGCAGGGTCTGAAATTTCTATGTTCATTTATTTAGTTTCTACCTTCTACCAACATAACAGAATGTAAGTTCCAAGTGACCCAGACATGTCTGTCTGCTTACTGACATGTGCCTGCACGCTGCGGGGGGCTCGTCATCTACCAGCTGCAACCAATCTGTGTAAGAACATCTCCACTGTCACAACCACAGATTTAGAGGTTAAGGTGCCTATTTCTGTACACAGCTGGGCAGTGCTGGAGCTCAGACTTCCCACCCCCAGTCTCTGCAATTACACTAGTGTCCCCCAGCCCACAGGGATGCTGACCCATCTGTCAAGGGAAAGTCTCCCACCTGCCCGTCAACACTCATCCCAGCACCTGGCTCATGCTAACAGCTGGCATCTGCCCTCCATCGTTCCTCCCCACTTCACCTCACACCAGCTCTCCCCCAGCTTCCACACTCTGCAGGGCCTGAAAGTCGGTGAGGCGTCCTTCCTGCACCTACAAACACTTTCAGGCCATTCTTCCTCCCTCGCCCACCGCATGTCTCACCCCACCTCCTCACTCTCTAGCTGCCCAGGCTCCCTCTTGGCTCCTTTCAGCAGAACATCACTTGCCCTGGGCTTGAACAGCCACCTGCAACCCCCTTCCCCACTTGACCCCCTTCACCTCCCAGAAGGAGCCGCTGTCTGAAACTGAGGGCTCCTGACTCTCAGGCATCTCTCTCTCTACTTTCACTACCTGTTAACATATCCCTGTGCATTACTGTCTCAGATTTTCCAATTCCATATAAATGTCATCACACTGAATATTCCCTTGCGACTTGCTTCTTTGCTTTATCCTGCTGAAGGAGCGGTCTGATGCCCCGAGTCTGTTCGCTGTCATGGCGGCAGCGCCACATGGCTTCTCCACTCATCCTGCTGCTGCTGAATGTCTGACTCAACTTCAAAACCTTACAGGCAACACTACCATGGCTGTTGGAGGACATGTCTTTGCGGAGCTGGGGGTAATTTTTCCAAGCTAAATCTTTATGTGTGCAACTGCTATGTTGTATCTGCCACTCTTGTATGTAATTTAAGACCCAACTGACTCTACCAATTTGCACCCTCACAAGAGTCCACAGAATCACCTTTTGTCCTGTTACTTCTGTGTAATTGCCGTCTCCAAGTCCTGAGTGCAAAACATGCCCCTTTAGGTACTAAAGACAAGTTACTGAACCACTGGCTCTTTACAGGAAGGGACAGGTGAACAAGGGACTACTGGAACCTTGATGAGCTCAGGGGTCCCAGTCCAGTGTCATTACCTTCCTTAAGGCAGAAGGGAAGATGGAAACAAGGTGGAAGGAAGGCGTGGTTGCGACAAGCAGGCCTGGAGGGAGAGCTGCTGTATCAGTCATGGGGCGAATAGCACTGATGCACACCGGCCGAGGTCAGCAGGAAGCACTGAACCCCCCATCACTCGAGAGCAGGAGTGACCATGGTGTCTCTGGTTGGGAGCAGGCCTGGTCACCCCCTTTGTTAGAAGCACAGGCCCTGTCATCTTCTAACCAAGACTTTGGGGTTGTTGGGGTCTTCCTGGGACAGAACCACCCCATCCCACCCCACTGCACACCCCTGCCATGTCCTCCGCCTGCCTCTTGTCTGCAGAAAAACTTTAGCCTCCCAGGCCTTCTCGAGTTCCAAAGAGCAAATTTAATCAGAAGAGTGGGAAATTGCAGAAAACAAGCAAGACAAAATAAAAGTAACTTAGCCTTAAAGTCAGGGCTTTTAGTTCTTCTCCAAGGCCTACAGATGATACTCTGAGCCATGTCCGTTGAGCTGTTCTGCAGATACTGAAACCCTTACCAGGTGGAAGAAGTTAACTGCATGCTGTCCACAAGGATGGAGTCCCCAGACCAACTGGAATCAGAAGGTTGATAATGTTGACTCCCAATTACTTCACTATCAACCAACCAGAAGAATGTCCACGAGCTGATATTGTGACAGCTCCCTTCCTCACCCTGTCTTTAAAAACCTTCCCTGAAAGCCTCTGGGGAGTGAGCTGCTGAGGAGGCAAAGCCCAGGAGATGCAGGTCGCCCAGACAGGGTGAAGAAATGGGGCTTCAGCAGGACCATGCAGAAGGGGAGGAATCAATCTGTGTGACTGCCAGCTGCGTGCAGATGTCACCAGGTATCTGAGACATGAGTTCTGTGCTGGGCAGAACTCTTTAAGTTGTCCCTAAAAACCGCCAGCTTAGTCCCTCCCCCACAGCCACCCAGCTGAAAAATGATGGGAGATGGAGATAGAAAGAGCTCAACCTCATTATTTGACAGATAACTAAATGGAAACATGAATGCCTTAGGAAGAAAAGGGACAAGGGTATGTATTCAATAGCTCGGGATGTGAGATGTCTGGTCAAATTTCAGCTCCCAGCCACCTCACAGCTGAACTGCGTAACCTGTTAGCTTCTGATTTCCTGACTGTCAGATGGAGACGCCAAAGCTACCTAACTCAAATGGCTGTGAGAAAGCCCAGAGAGCACAAAGCCTGGAGGCAGCAAACACTCATTAACCATTATAAACTATCCCGGGTTGGGGAGTCCCTGAGCAACAGTCAATTAGGAACAGAGCGCTCGCCTCTAAGTTTAGCACTGACCCATCTGCACACCCTGCTAAAGATGTGAAAAGACAAAGAGGGTAGGAGAGGAAGGAGGGAGGGAGCGAGAGGAAGGGAGAGACAGAGGGAGACAGGGACAGACACAGAGAAAGACCCCTGGTCACCATCAACCGTTATGGAACTTCCCACAGTCCCACTCACTCCAACGACGCTCACTGCTCCGGGCTGCCCTGAGGCTCACGTGCCCCGCTTAAAGCCAAGGACTGAGGCTTGCAGAGATGATCCGGCTCAGCCCGGTCGCCGCCAGCGCCCCTCACAGGGGGTCCCGGACAAGCCCGCGACCCCGGGCTCGCTCACCTCCTCCTTCCGCGAGCGCTTGGACACTTTCTTCTCCATCTTAGCGGCCGTCTTCTCCGCCCCACGGCCCTTCTTCTCTTTCTTGCCCTTTTTGCCCATCGTGCCGTGTCCAAGGAGGTTTCTGAACTGCCTGTGAGACTCTAGCGGCGCGCGGCGCGCAGGGAAATACGTGCTGGGGGGCGCGCAGAGAGGGCGTCACTTCCGGTTAGCCTCGCTCGCGGTTCTGGGCTGGTAGTGGGGCCTGGGTTTGGAGATGGCTGCTTTCGTAGTCCTTTATGGTCCTCCTATACAAAGGGGCCTGGGGGCCTTGGGCTCTGGGTGGTGCCCGCCGAGAAGCAGCGAGGCCGCGCCCCTTCCCCTCCCCCCTTCAGCTGTACCGGGTACGCGGCGCCTGTCGCTCCGACGTGTTTGTTCAGCAATGCTGAGCCCCGTGCACAGTGACCTAGTTGGCTTACTCGGTAGCACGAACCCTTGTGCAAGTTAAATGATTGCTGTGGCTTCCTGCCCTGGAAGGGCAGGAAGCCACAGCACTGGAAGCCCTGGTCATGCACTTACAGGGTTCGCAGACTCCGAGCGAAGATGTAAAACGGGCTAGATACTCTTAGGGGCTGAGGATACTGTGCTCAGCAAGTAAAACAGCCCTGCTCATCCGCCTTCTAGGTGACTGTCCTCAAATGTACTGTGTGAGCGGACTTGTTTTCCCCATCATGGCGCAGGGCTAATGACCCCTCTCCAAGAGCAGTCAGTTTCCAAGTCTGGAAAACCAAAACTGCCCGCTAGCTTTTGACTAAACGTAATAAATGTGAAAAAACACACATAGTACGTGGACTGCTGAGGTTTGGGCAGAGCAGAGTGAAAATGTCTCTCATTGCTTAGAAGGTATCATTTCATGCTCGGAATCAGGAAATAGAAAAAATTAAGGACAAGGACAAGCAAACAGGCAGCAAAGGGAAAGCATAAACGAGGAAATAATCTGCTTTGTGAGTGAACCACAGCAAGACTCAGCCTTAAAGAAATTGATACAGGCTGGGACCTGGGACCCTTCCCTCAGTGCTTGCACGTGGACAAATGCCTCCTCCATAAACAAAATGCAAAGAAACTATAAAGGATTAAAAATTAACTGCATGCATGCGTGCACAGTTGGGGCAAATTATGAACAAGATACAAAAAGACAAAAACCCCAACTGCCACTTCTGATAAGTCAGAAACAAAAGCGCGGTTACTGTACATGGTCCATGCACACAGCACCACCAAGGGAGTGAGCAAGCCACCCCTGGACCAACCCTACCCTCACCTGTATAAGGGACCAGCTCACTTGCCCCATCCCCTGTCTGGGAGCAAGCAAGGGAACCCGCTACTTGGTTTCGCTCCCTCCTGCTGCAGCAGAAGTCCCAATAAAACTTTGCCTGAATTTCTTCTCTAGCCTCTTATCAATTTCTATTGATTATGAGTGCTGTGCTAAGTCATTTCTGTCGTGTCCAACTCTGCAATCCCATGGACTGTAGCCCACCAACCTCTGATGTTCATGAGATTCTCCAGGCGAGAATACTGGAGTGGGTTGCCAAAGAAGTCCAAGAATCCTGATTAGGTAGCAAAATCAACTCAGATCCAATCAATTTATTAATCAGTGAGCAGCCAGGGAGGAGTGCTTTTTCAGCCAACTCCAAGCCTTGTCCATAAACCTAGTCTTCAGGAAGAAAAATATAACTGGGGGACTATGAGTGCGAGGGTAGACTAGCATTCAGGCTGCTGCTGCTGTCCCCTGAACTGATGGTAGGAGAATAGGAGGACATTCCAGATGGCAGAGAAAAGAACCAGCTAGAAGTCAGTCAGAAGGGAATACATAACTTCACAGGAAGCTGGCCCCTGAGCCTGCAGACATAATTACCCTCAACTGTGAGCAACAAGGGGTCAAAGCCTCAATACTGCCTCTCAGAAATTGTTACATTCCCTTTAGTGCAATACAACTAAGAACATACCTAATCCTGGTATTCTTTTCTGACAATTGGGTAATCTGGAGGCAATGCACTTGAAGCAAGATGGCCCTTCAGTCACAGCATGTCTGTTTGCAACACATTATAGTGGTCGCCTCTTAAGAGTTACAAAAGGGGGATCCTATTCCCTACTGAAGATTTGGAAGGATCTGGTAGATGCAGGATTTAAAACTTGAATTATCTGAAAGTATCTTGAAGCTAAATTGGAAGGTTCTTGGAATTAATAGTGTCATGGTGATTTACGTGAGGTTGAAACTCTCATTACCAAAAAAGAAGAAGAGAACATTTAAAATGAGATCAGAATCCAAAAATAGTAGAAAGATGAACAGAGTCCTATTTTAGTGAAACTCACACTTTTGAAACTTTAATGAATAATCTTCAATCTAACCTGTCATTAACATTTAGAGCGTACCTTTTGTGTAGTCAGGCGCCCTCTGCTGTCTTCAAGATGAAATCCAGAAGAGAAAAAAAGATTAACAATGCGTCTAATCATCCTTACCAGAACAATCAGTGTAACAGGAGAGATGTTCAAAGTGTGCTACAGATGAAGTTGATCTCTGTAGTTAACCACCTGGAAAGTGATCATATTAAACCTGCCCACCTACTGCACAGAACTCCTGAGAGAATCAAATGAAATAAAACTTTTCAAAAGCTTTGAGAAATAAAAAGCAACATATAAATTTAAGAGATTCTGTGTGCTGCAAAGTGGGGTCACAATGGTTGTGGACTGACAGATGATCATTTCATTTAACAACATTCAGTGGTTACTACAACTTGGCGATGTTGTACCAGGACACATGAGATACAAAACAGAAGACCCAGCCACCAGCTTCCAGGCGATTTTGTTCTAATGAGACAAGCTTGATGGCATTCCTCAAATGCTTTGTGAAATGAAGTTGGGAATAAGGACAGAAGGAGGGGATGGGGGAGAACGGAAAGAGGGAAGAGAAGGGAAGGAGTGGCTTCAAAACCTTTGTTTCATGTGTTTTGTCCGGTTTTCTAGACATTTGAGGGAAAGGGGTAAATCCAGACTCTTTGCTTCATCATGGCTGATAGCAAAATTTTCTCCTTTCTGGGATTCAAGTGTTTAATTTCCAAATATTTGGAGATCTTTTTGTTATTTATTTGTATTCAATTCATTGATTTGAGAGCTCTTCATTTCCCTTTAATTCTGTTTCAACTGCATCCCACAAAATTTGATATTTGTGCTTTGATTTTCATTCCACTCGAGCTTCTTCCTAATTCCCTTTTTGATTTCTTCTTTGGCCCTTCGGTTGCTTAGAAGTGTGTTAGTTTGTTTCCAGATATTTGGAGATGTTCTAAAGATCCTTCTGGAAATTAATTTTCTTTTTCTCTAACCGCTTTTTATTTTACCTTCCTCTCTATTATCCTGCCATTTCACTAAGATATGTTTGTTTATTTCTTTTTATTCATCTTGCTTGGAAATGGCTGGTCCCCATGAAGCCACGCGTGGCAGCCTTACCGGGTCCAGGATTTCTCTGTCACCCTCCCTTCAGAAGATGCTGTTGCTCCTTTCTCTTCTGGGGCTCCCTTCTCTTTTCCTTTGGCTTTCTTAACCTCTCTTCATTTCCCCCATTTTCCCTCTGTTTGTCCCTCTGTGCTGCACTTCTGGATAATCTCTCCTTCTGGAAAATTCCTCCTACTGGTTCATGAATTGTTTGCTGAACCCCATCAAATCTGTCTAATTTGTCCATATAACTTTTGATCATGATTAGTAATTTTCAAAGGTTCTGTTTTTATCAAATCTGCTGGATAGCTTTTATAGCTTTCAGTTCCCTGCAGACATTTCCGAGTGTGTCTTGTCCTTGGAGTAAGTATATCAATCCGTTTGTGCTGCAGTGACGCTGCTTCTGTCTTGAAG